AACCATGTTATCCATTGTTGGAGCAGCGGCCGCTAAGGGCGTGTAGTTATTGACGAACATAGCAGATAGATTCTTTTCCATAGCAGAAGTACTGGGGAACTTAACTGAGAGCAAGTAAGAATAAAGAAATAGTGAAGAGAATGCAGAGCCGTCAAATCTGAATTTACGAAAATTCCATGTACGTCTAATACTTACTTGGTAAATGCCCAAAGTATTTCTCCACAAGTTTATCAAGTACTGGAAAATAATCAAATTCCCGATCCAAATCGACGCGAAGTGCATCAAGGGCATTTTCAGCGCGTTCCCAAAAGCTCATACGCTCTGTGAATTGAAGGAGTCCCATGGGCACGTATGACCAAGGAGAAATTACGCCGAACATCTGACTCATGTAGGTTGTCTTCGCAAATGTAACTGAGCTAACAACGGGCACTTTATAGACGTGAGCCAAGGCAAGAAAAACTTCTTGTTGTAACTGTTCCACTAACAGCAAATCGAAGACACCCTCAGTTTGTTTGGCATTAATAATAGCCTGCACTTTCGGTTGTTTTAGCGCATGTTCGCTAGTCTCAACCGCTATAGACTTCATTACTTTAAAAAACAGTGATAATCTAGTTTCAAGTTCTACGTTCGATTTTGATCCAGTTATTTCACTAACTGTAACGAGCGAGAAATAAATGTTCCGTCATCGGTCTAGTTTGGATAGGACATAAAAACTCACCAATCTTCCAGATATCGTATTCCGGCTCAATGAGTATCTCAGTGTAGTTGCTGCCCAGTTTGAGTGGCTCTAGTGTTAGTCCGGTGATCATGGTGACCTAATTATGGATTAACCATAAATACTTTTAACTCCATGTAATAAAATGAAAGTCAAAACGTGTGCATATACCTGATGGCCATGTTTCACCAACTCGCTAATCATAGGTCGATGCATCTGATAGTGACTTCTTCCCGCATATATGTAGACTGCAAGTATTTTGGCGCCACTAACAGAAGGTGCTTGAGCCGCTAGCGCAGCCAATGCCAGAAGGCAAATTAAAATTTTTGAACCCTAAAAGGTTTGATCATATGTATGGGTTAATAATAAAGGCTTATTGTGGAAGTGCGTAGAATAAAATATTGAAGTATTACGGCTCTTGCAAATTATCTTAGGTATGGAACATGATCTTTTGGCATGGAGTAGACTCTCTGCTGGTAAGTTAGATGCGTTTAATGCTCACGCAGAGAGCCACTGGAATGCAAGAATAGGTAGGCATTAGCTTAACGTCTGAGTTGTAGTGAAACAGAAGCTCAGTCAAAAGCATAGGAATTTAAATTCGCTAAGCTTCTAAAATCCATCGCCATGTGCTGTACCGGACCTTTGGCGGTATAAGTTGAGGCTATTTTTGATATACTGCTTAACTTATCTTCACTAAATGCCTTTATCGGCGGAAAGGTCTCAAGGCTACTTGCGGACCCAAACGAAATGGATACTGGTATGATACAGTGCGGAGTAAGCCGGAAATTGCTAAAAGCAGAGATGTTGACTTGAAGGCCTTTTCCATGCGATAAGATACTTATATACATATTGAGTTCCCTGCAGATTAGTGATGGCTTAATTTCAATACTAACAAATAACACTACTAATACAAAACTGACCCAGCGTCAGGATCTGGAGTCCATATGGGAGCAAACAAGTTAAATCTTCTCTGCTCTCAGGTATATGCTTTCCAAGCCGGGCTATTCACAATTCCCACATGCTAAAGACTACGGGGGGGGGAAATACATATTTGTAGAAGTAAGAGTTTACGTGTCTGTAGTAGTGACAGCCAAGCTTCGCTCAATGCATTGACCAGCCTTTCGATTATTTCCAAATTAGTTTGACAATGCAATTTAGGGGAGTTATCGGAGAAAAGTGAAATTAGAAAATGAAAATGAATTAAGAAAAATCCGAAGTTTCGGCAATATCGGTGCAAGGACATTACTACCTCCCATATAACGTTTTTCTCAAGAACTAGATTTTAGCTACATTTGTGATTAGAATGTACTAAAAACTAATAACAATTTATATGATTAAACTTTTTAACTCTGGCCAATTTTGTTTCATTTGGTATCAGGAAATGACTACCTCCATTATGTATTTTAGTTATTGAAAAAAAATTATAATTTAATATTTTCTTTAAAAAGGATCAAAAAGTAAAATTGTTTCTAAATTTGCTCAATAACGCCGGTCTTTTGCATTTCACACAATACGCTCGATAAGGTCTTATAGGCTAGCATAACTTTTGTATTTATGTAAATATATTTATGTAGCTTCTCTTCTTGAACGGTTCTGACCTAAAATAATTTGCACAACGTTTTCAAAATAAAAATTTCAAATAGCACATAAAATTTAGCTTCTTTATTTTTTTATAGAAACTTTGTTGTTACAGCATAAAAATAGTCACCATTCTTATCCTGCACCACCACTAACGAATTTTACTTTTTTGGCCTTGGCTCCTTCTGGCTACGACACGCTGAGAGCTTCGACTGCCTCACTACTAAAAGAATAATACTTAAATCGGCATTTATTTTAGTTTATCATCAAATTTGCCTTCTCATTAAGAGGAGTTTGTTTAAAAAGATGTGCTAACCTAGACATATTTGATAACAAAGAAAGATTAGCCTACCACTATACTATTATTTAGATATAAATTTAAATCTTATCGCATGAATATTACTAGCATATAACATACGTTGGTTAAACAAGCGGATTTTGTGTTTGTTTTCGAGGAACAAATTTATTTTGGGGTTAATTGTGCACAAATTACCGTTACCATTTACTCTCGTAGACAATGAAAAAAAGTGCAGTCAAACTATGTACGAAAAAACAAAGGATTTTACGAATGGTGGCCTAGACTTGCCGCAGGGAATGTAAAACTTGAGGAAGCATCGAAAGCCAGACCCAATCAGTGTGGGACTTTAAACCGAACTAAAGTGTTTGAGAAAGCTTTACTGGAAAATTTGTTTGAAAAGTTGGCTCCTACCCTAACGACGAACTTAATGTTGGCAAGAATTTACAACATATTATCAAAGGAAGTGCTCAAAACACTTTGATACGGAAATGGTGAGATATGTGTTGC